TTCAATAAAATTACCTTCATTTTTAAGTTAAAAGTTACGAAAAAAAAAAATTAACTAGATAAGTTAAAAGTTAAGATAGAAAATAAAATTAACTTAACTCAGTTAAAAAAAAAGTTAATTTTTTTTTTCAAGTCACAATAAACATAAGTCATAACTTGCCCTAGTATTTTAATTTATACAAATATTTACCAAGACGCTTATCAGTATTCTAATATTAATACTATTTACTAGTGAAGATTAAAATTTAATCTGATTATTATGAATTGATGATATTATAACATAAGAAAAATAAATTACCAAAATCGAAAGAATAAGTTTTCTGTTGGTTCCACGTGATATATAAAAAAAAATTAAAATTAACTTAACTGCACCATAACGATAATTAACTTTAAAAAGTTAAGTTAAAACGATAAAAATTTAACTGAATAAGTTGATAAGTTGAAAACAAAAATAATTAACTAGTTAAGTTAAAAAATTAAAAAAAAATTAATTTTTTAACAATAAGTTAATGCCCACCATTGATATTATCTACTCATGATATTCTTAATAAATAATAGGCTATTTATCATTAATTAAATCTATTTTGACTTAGAAAAAGATGCTCACATAACTCAATTTAAAGGGTTTTCATCAATGTAAAAAATGTATGTAGTAATGGTACCTACATTGCATTTAACACCATCTATTGGTTTTATCGAAAACTTAGTTTATGCAGTTCATATTTTAGGGAGTTCAAAGATCAAACACAATAATTTTTATTCAAGGTCGGTAAGTGCTTTGAATATTTTTTCTAGTTACTGTTTATTTGCCTATACAGGAAAAATAAAAACACCATTCGTTTTGCAAGCTTAATAACTATATATATTGTTCTACCCGATAAGAGATGAGATTATATCCTCTAATGATGTATATTTTTTCATAATATAAGTCATGCATGTAAAGTTATTTCAATCCATTATTCTTATATTGTGGACTAGAAAACCAAGTAATAAACACAACAAACTTAGCTGAAGCTTTTCAAAGGTAGGCATATTAATTATTACCTAATAATGAGAATTTATCTACTATATTGTGCGCAAACGTATCCCAAAAACTAGAAACGCCCGTACAATAATCTGAACATAATTGAAACATAATGTKTTAACTGTTTATGAATTTATGAATTATGACCATGGACTTGAAATTAATTTTTTTTGTATTTTTAACTTTTTTTTAAATATGATCACGAAGACAAATTAAAATTATATTTAATTGTTTTTACTCGTAATAGTAGATAATAGTAGTAGGTAGTGGTTGGTAGGTAAGCACGATTGTCCTTGAATGTTATTGGTCGAATCTTGCGTTCTTTATAGCCTCGTAACTTGAATCAAATATAATTATGCCAATTTAAAATCAATTTACCTTACATAATGCAATGTTTTTAGTTTCCTTTCATATTTCGATAAGTTAATTCAAAATGTTTAATTCCACAGCTATACTCTAAATTTTTTTTTTAAGTAAGTAAGTAAAACTGTATTTTAAGACTAAATAAAAACACATTTTATGCTGTGCTTTTACCGTTATAAATTTAAAATCATTGTAAACGAAAAAGATTCTGAGTGAAAATTGTCAGCCTGCCTAATTACCAAGTATTTTTATTACATTATTGATATAGATATTAAAGATATAGGAGGATTGTATAATAAGAGATTAGAAATGTGAAAGTAGTAGAACCTGAA